GGTTTTGATTGGAAAGATAGTCTTTAAAGTGTGCGTGAGTTCTATTAATTTTGCTGGCGAGTTCAGGGCCGATATTCGTAAAAAATGAGTTAAATGAATTTGCATGAAGACTAGGATCATGTATTTTAGTGCCATTTAATGTGATATTATCCGTGGGTGGGGGATTCGTTTTTTTTCCCATTACCTCTTTGATAATTTTCCAAGTTGCAGTTGTGTTTGAACTGGCCTTTTTTATTTTATTAGAAAAATGCAATCTACGGGATGTACGGATAAGTTTTGTTAATTTGTTTCGATAAATTTTATATGTGTTTAAGTTAGTGTCAGTTGGATTGTGTAAATGTAATTTGTAGAGGCGATTGCGTGTTTGTATTGATTTCAATAAACCTTTAGTTATCCAAGGATTCCTGGGTTTATTTCGCTTATTACTCATTTTGCCTAAAGGAATATTCTTTTCATAATAATATTGCAATTTGTTACTAAAATGTTTATATGCAGTATTGACATCATTTACACTATATACCTCAGCCCATCCCTCGAAAAATAAATCCTGTTTCAGCAATTCTATATTACGTTTGGATTCTTTGCGATATATAAGCTCATCAAATGATAGTTTGCATTCACAAGTTAAAAATATGGGTAGGGGATCCGACACTTCAGAACACAATATTCCACCGATGGTTTTGTTGTTATGTACGTTTGAAAAAATATTGTCAATCTGAGTTGATGAATGTGGATTTATTCTGGTGGGTTTATTAATAATCGAAAAAAAAGCCGTATGAATGCATCAACTGCATACAATTGGTTGAGTTACTGTTATCAGATGAGGGTGAGAAGTTGATATTAAAGTCACCAAGGATAAAAATGTGTTTATTTTCATCCCCTATTTTATGAAGATAAAAATCCAGTTCGTCACAGAATAAATCACAATTAGAATCAGGGGGTCTATAAATCAAACCTATGATGACATTTTTGGCATTTGAGTTATTAATTTCGATAAATAAAGATTCAGCTTGTGTTAGTTTAATATCTGAACGGATTTTGAAGTTTATGTTTTGTGTAATATAAAACGCAACACCGCCACCTCTTCTTCCTTTGCGGTCCGCCCTAATCAACTTATAATTAGGCAAATTGAACATATCTGGAGAATTCTGATGTAACCATGTCTCACTTATTCCAATGACGGAAAATGCAAAATTATTTAAAGAGTGTAAAAGGTTTTCAACGTATTCGAAATTTGTGTTCAGACTTCTGGAGTTTATATGTAAAAGTGAAATATTGTCTGGTTTGTAAGAAAATGAATTTTTGAATTCTTGGGGTGTGTAGTATCAGGGGCGGATCTAGCTTTTTGCTCAGGGGGGGGGGGGTTGACCAATAATGACGATGCGGAGCATCGTCCACGAGCCGCGAAGCGGCGAGCCGATTTTTTGGGGTGTTTATTTGAACCCCGTAAGTGATGTTTTCCTGGCATCTATTAACACAATGGAGACCATAAAAAGCAGTGCATGATAACGTCTTTTTAAATCAAGTAACAGTTAAATACACAGTTATATCCAGAGTTATCATGTGTTTGGTTAAGTTACCAGATGAGTTGAATATCTTCTCACAATATTTGCACTTGAAAGGGTTTCTCTCCAGCGTGCGTTCTTTTTTCTTTCTTTTTTTTTTATTCTTTTTTTTTTTTTTTTTTTTTTTTTTTTTTTTTTTAATGTGGGGATTTTGGGGATGAGAATCGGCAACGCTGGCCTAGCTTGTCACTTCGGCGGTGGCCCGTGTCCTCAAAAAAGCTGATGGGGGGGGGGGGGGCAAGGGACTCTGTGACATTTGTTCGCCCAACCCCCCCCCCCCCCCCCCCAAAAAGCAATAATAATAATAATAATAATAATAATAATAATAATAATAATAATAATAATAAATGAAATAAATACATAGAAATAGAATAAAATAAAATTACAAGTTTTTAAAAAAAGATAAGATTTAAAAAAATGGTCCCCGGATTTTTTTTATTTTTTTTTTTTGGGGGGGGGGGGTTGCAACCCCCCCAACCCCCCCTCTAGATCCGCTTCTGAGTATTTGCTCTCGTTTATATCGTCGACAAGAATATCGGGAGTGTGCGCGTGCGAATTCATTTAACGATACGTATTATGTAAAGTACCGAAAATTTGGAGGATGAACAACTGCATGTGTGATGCTGGTGTGCGTTTGTGTGTGTACGAAGTGCAAGTGTGCGGGTAACTTCAAAATATAACACAAATAAAAATACAATAAGACCCATCTTGGTCACAGTTACAATAATTGCTTAGGAGCAACAGAGCGGAGCCCGACCGCCCGAGTAAAGGGTGTATTTTTGACACGCAAAATAGAGGGGCTGGGAAGAAACAAAATGCTTGACAACAATAATGACAAATCGGAGTACGATTATTAAATGGCAAAGAGGGATTTGACATTCCCGCTCATCAAAACTAGTTCAGTCTATAACAATGGATTTTGTGATTGACACAGGAGTTTTGCAAAACAAAGAGATTTGTTGTGCGGAGGAGAAAAATGTATGCATGTTAAAGCAGACTCTGAGATGATGCTTAATAGCAATAACGTCATTTCGGAGTACAATAATATTAAATGGCAAAGAGGGTTTTGACTTTAGTTGGAACCTTGTATGTAAATGTAAAAGTTCATTTGCAAATTTATTAAGACCTATGTTAAAACTATTTTGTTAGTTTGTATGCAATGTTATAAATTATGTTTTTCTTTATGAAAGAAATTAATAAAAAACTATGAATACAAAATATAACAATTTTAACGAGAAGAAAGCATGAAGCTTAGTCTACTTTCCCGAGGTTTAAATGCAGTATCAGCTGATTGAATCATTTTATTCAAGTTAATTTTGGAGTGGATGGAAAAAGAAGAAAAAAGGATTTTCATTTTGGGCAGTACGTCAAACAGAAAATGGCTCTGCTATAGCTGGTTTGACATGTTAAGATAATGGACCAGTTTGTAGAAAGCACAGGTACAAACTAATGACCTTCAAAGATCTTTTAAACATGGAAAAGTCCCACTTTGTGCGATATGCCTGGTCAATATATTTTGCTATAATTCCCAGCAGTCAGTAGCTATTTACACGCCTGTAGTTTTCACTGGCTGCCTGCCGTAGCAACAAATTGATATTTCGTTGAAGCATGAAGTCTTTCGTCTATGGCTGATCGTCAACGAAACGGAGTTAAGTCTTTTGTCAATGCTGCTTGTTGCTACGGCAGGCAGCCAGTGAAAACGAATTCGTTTAACAATTTATGGAAATACAAGTATTACTTTAAACAAACAGAACTTTGTTATTCCTAGCTCATTTTTCCTGATTGAGGTGTCATATGAAAGAGCAGAAAATGAACTTTCTAGAAATGTGATTTTCTCTTTGCAATTCAGATACCGTCCGCCAAATGATTTTTTGTTGTACCCTTTCTCCAAATTGATTTTAATCACTCATGCGTGACATACGCATTATATGAGGTGCATCGAATGAAAGAGGAGGATCTAAGTTTGACAAATATGTGTCATTTATAATTATAATTGTGATTTAGTTATGATAAAACATCGATAATTCTCGGTTTCGTTTTTCTGGGACGCACTGTATAGGTGACGTCAAAAGATCGAGCTTTACTTATACATGTATGTGAGCTTCAATCATTAAGAGGAACGTTATCCTTATAGTACCAGATTAAAGTTTCTTTTAACGGTTTACAAAGATTTAAAACAAAAAGAAATTAATGGAATAATCTATAAAGTACCGAGATATTGCTACAGGTAGCATTTCCTGGTCAAGAGAACAGATGGTTCTAACACGAGAGCCCAGTGACAACTACATGTATAGTTGAAAATTCACGAGAGAGAAAACACGCAGTTAACGAGACCAAAGTTTTTATCATGAGAACCTTATGACAAAGAAACCTGAGACCGATAGCACACGCTTCCGAAGGTTCACGAGACCGAATGCTTTATCACGAAAACCTTATGACAAAGAAACCTGAGACCGATAGCACACGCCTCCGAAGGTTCACGAGACCGAATGCTTTATCACGAAAACCTTATGACAAAGAAACCTGAGACCGATAGCACACGCCTCCGAAGGTTCACGAGACCGAATGCTTTATCACGAAAACCTTATGACAAAGAAACCTGAGACCGATAGCACACGCCTCCGAAGGTTCACGAGACCGAATGCTTTATCACGAAAACCTTATGACAAAGAAACCTGAGACCGATAGCACACGCCTCCGAAGGTTCACGAGACCGAATGTTTTATCACAAAAACCTTATGACAAAGAAACCTGAGACCGATGGCACACGCCTCCGAAGGTTCACGAGACCGAATGTTTTATCACGAAAACCTTATGACAAAGAAACCTGAGACCGATAGCACACGCCTCCGAAGGTTCACGAGACCGAATGTTTTATCACAAAAACCTCATGACAAAGAAACCTGAGACCAATAGCACACGCCTCCGAAGGTTCACGAGACCGAATGTTTTATCACAAAAACCTTTTGACAAAGAAACCTGAGACCGATAGCACACGCCCCTGAAGGTTCACGAGACCGAATGTTTTATCACAAAAACCTTTTGACAAAGAAACCTGAGACCGATAGCACACGCCTCCGAAGGTTCACGAGACCGAATGTTTTATCACAAAAACCTTTTGACAAAGAAACCTGAGACCGATAGCACTCGCCTCCGAAAGTTCATGAGACCGAAAGTTTAATCTCATGGATCTGACGAGAACTATCCAAAACCTGGCAATGATTCAAGAGGATCGGAAGCGTATCCCACTGAACTGGTTGGCAAGTCTGAAGACGTGGAGCAAATTATGTAGTCATCGAATCAAACATATTATCATGATTATTACTGCCTGAAAACGGAAACAAGTATATACATTCCCCCACTAACGTTTTGTTTTGATAAATTACGGTTAATAATAGTCAATACGGAACAGACAACATTAATCTATTTGCCTACCTTTTCGTGCACAGTAACAGCGAAGTAGGATATGATAGCTAGGTTCACGGAGGACCCCATAATCCAGAAAGACGCAATTAAGGTATAAGATATCCCAGTTCCACCTGATACAACCTGATACAAAAGAAATATCATACCAGGGATATGCGTGCAATATGCGAAAGCGATGAGCGGTGACAACATGTCATCTGCAAGCTCTACTGATCTGCGAAGAATATTGAAATTTCGCCGAAATGTGTCTAGAAGCTTTGCCTCAAAGTTTGTAACACCTCCAAACGTCTCTGTAAAGTCGTAGGTCAACTGGGCAAGCTGACCAGACAGGATGTTGCAGATGAAAGCTATGAAAACGATGGTTAAGATCCATGCTGCTGAGCTGTACACAACAAAGACCGAAGAAAAGCCACACGCAAGATCCGATGACCATGGTAAACATATCATCCTGTACGACACCGACGACTCATTGGAACCGTAGATTATAAAGAGCATTGCCGCTATGTTGAGGCATACTCCACACAGTCCGACAACAGTTCCAGCCAATGCAAATGATCGGTATTTCATCCAAGATGGCTTCACATGATTCTTGCTGGAATCATCACCCCCCGATTGTGAAGGACAGAAACAAAGCTTCGTCTGGTTCGAAATGAGTTGACATACATCTCCTTTGTAGCAAATTTTCAATAAAATCGAGTTGTTTGCAGCAACTTGAAACGCCCATACGCAGACGGAAATGTTATTGTAAATCAAATCTTGAGTATCGATTACCCAAAAGGAAACCAACAAGCGCGCGAAATTAAACCAGAGAAATACCACGACAAAAACATGGTAAATCCTCGTAACAGCGAATGTTAAGCTGTCGTCCTTGTCTTCAGACCGTGGATGAACGTTTTTTGTCCCTTTCTCGTGATAAAGGCCGAAGATAATCATTGGTGTCTTCAATGGACGAGCCACCTTGTCCCAGAGAAATCGGGCAGTGGCGCTTTGAATGTCGTTGGCTTCACAAGGATTCTGGCTTGCTTGTTCTCCAGATATATCCATCGCTTCCATTGCCTTTCGTACTTTGTTCTTGCAACAAAACATCTTCCTTTCCTAAAGCGAGATGATGGTTTCCTTGATGCAAATATGAAAAAGACTTGCTTTCGTATAGCGATAGAATGGTTGAATAAGTGAAATACGGGCTTACTTATACACACCACTTTATTGGAAACACGTCCAGTGGATGCGACTAGATTGAACGAAAATGGTTAATGGATCCTCTGTATATCTATCCTCTATCAGCCAATATCAATACAAATCCATTAGGGTATTAGGTTTAAATATTGAACGATTACCATAAAATCCGTGCAGTCCCATCTCATTGCTAATGCTCGAAAGTGAACGGTTAAATTGAAAGCAATATGAAATCAATTCTGTACGCACCAACCCCTAACCCTCCTTGCCCTCTACTGTTTAAAATGTATGTGAACGCGAGACAGTCTATCTGCCTAGGGTATGGTTAGTACTGTATGAACGTGATGACGTATTCAGCATCGAAATCAGTTGGGGAGGAGTGAGAAAACGTAAATGCAAAATAAATCAAAGCTAAGTCTTAGTGTATACAGTAAAACGAAATAGGGCGATATATAAACCGAAACCACCCTTAAGGATATATACTTAATAAATAAATTGACATGATGTAGATTTAAATCAAAATCAATCAAACTAATTTGATTTTATTTGATGTGATTTAATAATGCGCTAATTTGGTTTTATGCTGGGGTTGCTTTCTTTTTCTTTTTACGGAACCCTGATGTAAATCAATTGTCTTACTATTTCGGTAAATTTAACTGAATCAACGTGTCTACTATACGAATGTGATAACTTATGATATCAATTTCGTGTAAATTAAATGACTACCGTCAATAATGATTACATTTTTCACTTTCAGTTTGGGCTTGACGATCTACAGGAAACTGCTATTGTCCAATGCTGCACCATGCACTCATGGCAATAGGTTGTAAGACACTGCGACCCTTGCTCCGCGTCAATTTCATGTATTAACCGAATTCGTAATTTCAACCAAGGAACCAAAACTATACATAACACAAACCTAACCTCATGACTATTGTAACAGCTACCCTATCCCTATCATCATTTGACGAAATATATCCTTGTCGCAGGAATAGATGCTGGATAATACAGTTCTCTACAGTGCTTGCCAGTTGCGTTTGGATGGGCGTAGTTGCGAGTGTGGGTGTTGTGGGTGTGAAGTTGTAGGTGTGCGTGTGTGTGTTAGATTGTGTGTGTGTTTGTGCGCGTGTGCGACCCCTTCCCATAATATAAACACACAGATAGCAACCTACAACATCAGCGGTGTCGATTTGTATCCGTGGTTGGGGGGGATGATAGGTGCCAAAATATTTTCGGCAATGGATCATAGCAACCAAGCGGTAGAAGCGTGTGGCAGGTTGCACCCCCTCCCTTTCAACTTTTTCAAGTAACCCTCATCAAAGATAACATTTCAGAGAATATAGGACCTCGTGGGTCCCACATGTGCTTGCGCGTAGCAAGGATTTTATTTTTAGGGGGCGGTAGTGAGTACGCGAAGCTTGCGAATCACTTACAGAGCGCGCGAAGCACGCTCTCTAGGGTGGTGTTTTCCCCCGTCCTGCGCGAAGCGCGGAAGCTTTGATGTTTCATTAAATTATCAGAGAAAGAAGACGATTCGTTGTACCGTTCTCGATTCTTAATCCTTGTCTAAATTCAGTTTCTTTTGACATTTCATTAAATTATTAAAGGAAGAAGACGATTCGTTGTACCATTCTCGACTCTTAATCCTTGTCTGAATTCAGTTTCCCCCCCCCCCCCCCTTCCGCGCGAAGCGCGGAAGCTTTGATGTTTCATTAAATTATTAGAGAAAGAAGACGATTCGTTGTATTCCTTTCTTCTTTCTCTTTTTTTTTGGGGGGGGGGGCGACCGCCCCAACCGCCCCCCCCCCCCTGGCTACGCGCCTCTCTCCCACTCTCTACTTCTTTTTTGCACTTTTGCGCTTCCCGCTTAACAATTAGCTCGTTGCTTTTTAACGCCAAATGCAAAACCGCACTGCATTTCTATGATGCTGTTGATTGAATAAATTGAATAAATTCATCAATACCCGATGAAGCCGTATGAGCGAGAATCCAATTTATTCTTGTCTCATATACGGTTGTCTCATTTACATATGTATTATGAAAATGAGAAAGCAAAATGTGTATATTGATGGTCATCTTGCGAGTAATAACCATTAACTACTCCTATCGGGCTCTCATCATTAATTTTTCTCTTCATTTTTTTTTATGGTGAATTATTGGGGGGATGATTGTACAGGCCATCCCCCCACCTGAAATATTGGGGGGGGATGTATCCCCCCCCCCCCCCATCCCCCCCCCCCCCCGGGATCGACACCCATGTACAACATACATTAATCATGTTAATATTGGTTGACATACATGCATTGGAGGATTCCAGAATTTAATATAAAATGAGGGATAATGAAAAGGTGACGTATTTTGTCACTTCAGGAAATTTCTGTCAAATTGGGCAGATGTGTACCGATTACGAACCTACCTTTTCGTGCACAGTAACAGCGAAGTAGGATACGACACCGATGTTTATGGCATTTCCCATCACCCAGAAGGAATAAATCAAAACATAGGATAACCCTTCCTCCGAAAACCTGTCCCAGATCTGGTACAATAAGAAGATGATAACAGGGGTGTTTGTGCAGTATGCTACAGCAATGAGAGGCGACAACATTTCATCTGCCAGTTCCACAGATCGGCATAGAAGACTGAACTTTCGCCGATATGAGTTCAGAAGGTTTGCTTCAAAGTGTTGTACGCGTCCAAAAGTCTCCGTGAAATCGTCGGTCAATTGCGTGAGCTGGCCAGATAGGATGTGGCAGGTGAAAGCTATGAACACCATAGCAAAGGCCCATGCTGCTGAGCCGTACACTGCAAAGACTGAAGAAATGCCACACGCCGGACCCGAATACCATGGTAAACAGAACAGCTTGTACGACACCGACGACTCATTGGTACCGTATATCATGAAGAGTACTGCCGCTAAATTGAGGCATAGTCCACACAGTCCGACAATAGATCCAGCTAATGCAAATGAACGGTATTTCATCCAAGAAGGTTTGACATGATTCGTGTTTAATCGCTCATTTTGGGATGTTCCTAGAGGAAGGAAACACAGTTTTGACTGATTTGCAATGAGACGTACAATGTCCCTTTTGTGGCATATTTTCAGGAAAATGGTGTTGTTCGCAGCGACGAGAAACCCCCAAGTGCAGACGGAAACGTTGTCGTAGTACATGTCCGGAGTTTTTATCAGCCAAAATGAAGCGACCGAGCGCAGAAAGTTGTACCAGAGAAACAAGACGACCAGAATCTGGTAAATCCTCGGAATAATAAAGAAGATCTTGTCCTTGATCGCGGATTCAGGATGGATCTTCCCTGTTCCCTTCTCATGGTAAAGGCCGAAGATGGTCATCACCATTTTAAGAGGCCGAGCCACCTCATCCCAGAGCATTTCGGAATCATTGATAGGATTATGGTTAGATTCACGAACATTGTGATGTCCCTGTTCTGTAGATGTTCCCATTGCTTCCATCTTTTCCTGACAAGAGAGGTTTTCTCACGTATCTTAGTTCTTTAAAAAATGTTTCGTATACTATATGAGTGGAAATACAATTTTCTCCCGTGTACCCGGAAAAGACTTCAATGAATGCGACTCAGTGCGAGGCGCCCCAGGGAGGGCATGGGGTAAATCATTCACCCTCTCCAAAAAACCTCAAATTTTGGATTTTTCAAAAGACATTTTGGATATTATGAAGCCCGAAATTGCACGGCTTACTTATCAGCAAATTGTGTGTGACTCCCCTCCCCTTATTTCAAACGCCTCGATGATGCCTCTGCCTCGATTGGTTTGCTAATTTAGCTATCTCGATCCATATTGACATTTAGATTTTTTTATTAAATGTCAACAAGTGACCATGGCCAATGAAAGCCGAGCCTGTAAACCTGTCATGTATTGAGTGAAACTTAATTGAACGATCACTCAACGGCTGCTACAAAAGAAGAGTCACAATTAAACCGTCATTTTTTGGACGTAATCCTCTAACAATAATAACTTGTCTATCATGATTGTGCAATTTTTCGAAGCTTATGGTAAAATTTAAAAGAAGTGTTTTTTGTTATGGTTGTATACTTAGTTTTGTATTTCGTGGAGGAATCGGTATATTTTCCATGAACTCCAAGTTGCGCAGTCAGTATTCTAAACTGTCAGCAAAATTCACAAAAGACACGAATAAATGGCACTCTGTCATTACAAATGGCTTACGTGGTTTTTCTTTCACATTCAATATTAAATAAATGAATTAGTTTTAAATATTTGTATTTTCAATCGCATATGATTTCAAATGAATTTCACGACACATTCATTATACAGTGCGACCCAGAAAAAACGAATCCAAGAATTATGGATGTTTTATCATAACTTAATCACAATTATAATTAATAAATGACACATCTTTGTAAAGCTTAGATCCTCCTCTTTCATTGTATTGGATGTAACTCATATGATGCATATTTCACGCATGGGTGATTAAAAGCAATTTGAAGGAAGGAAACCAAAAAGTCATATGGCGGGCGGTATTTGAACTACGAAGAAAAATTCAAATTTCTAGAAAGTTCATTTTCTGCTCTTTCATATGACATTTGAAAAAGCCGTTGAAAACATTTTCGTC